AATATCCGTAAACATTAGTTACCTGCATGCAATGCATATTTTTATGCAGTCAACATGTTTGGCTGTGTAATGAGTACATTTTGATAGTGAAAGTCCCATCCTACGGAGCTGACTAAGCCAATGGGATGGGATGAAGGCTTGAAGGTGGAACATTGGAGATTGGGTTATGATCTGCGACAAAATACACAATTTTACTTATAAGTGCGGCATTGGACTGCTGTACAGTATAGAATGCCAGTCCTGCCGCATTATGTCACATGTGAACGTAATTTACTTAATAACAATCATGTCACATGTTTATAATAATAGTAATTGCAATAGAATAATGTTCTTATACATAAAAACAAAAGCTTACAAATCTATGTTAACTATTAGTCTGGTTTGTTACTTTCTTTACAATTAAGTTAAATATATTGAAAGAAAAAGACAAAACATACCAATAGTTAATGTTACGTTTGACGTTTTTATTATTAAGGATGTCAAATTAATACAAAGACGTGTATATGTATATATATAAATATCTAATGAGTACACCGTGAAAACTCAATCTCTATCACATTCACCAATATCTCAAGGTGCTATTAAAAGACATAGTACACTTGTAGTAAAAGTTCGAATTGCCATATGTTTTATAATAATATCAACTTTCCGAAGTTGAATATTGTACACATTATTGTTAAGCTTGGAACACTGAAGACTATTACTACTCTACAATGTTAGATAGGTAGATAAATGTCAAAACCGTTTCGCGCTAAAATATGTCTAATTTTAAATTTATGGTAACATTCAAAATAACCTAAAAATCGCGTTGAGGCTTAGCCGTTCAAAAATCAGTTTAATATTTGTTTAATTAATAAACAGAAATAAATTACACATCCAATTAAAATAAATTGATTATTAATAATTTAGCAAAAGCCCAAATAATACTTCTAATCATAAAGATTGCCTGCACGCAACGTCGCATCGATTTTATTATTTTAAAAATATAATCACATAAAACCAAAAACATAATCAGTACGTAGGGAAACTGCGTTCTACTATTAGATCACCGGAAAATCAGGTTATGCTGTATTCAGAAGACCAATGTTGAAGAAGATGTATGAAGATAAATAACATTGTTTTCGCTAGATATAATTCTGAACAGTGACAACTTAACTTCGCCATCTTGTGCCCCACTCTCGAAAAAGTAGTTAACATGTTGAAATGAAATGTTAACATGATCCTGATCTTAGTACTTTTATTTTAATAAAAACTAGTACAACATTTTCTGTTACGACAGTAATTTAACGAATATGGCCTTTAGTATTATAGTAGAAGAAGTCGGACATTCAGTCTAGGTTATCAACATTTATGAAAACATCATAATATTGTAATAAGGTCAATATAGAATTTAAAAAAAAAAGCAAATAATTGTGTTATTGTTGCGACGTTGCGATGACAGCGAGGCTTTTGTTTAACTTTCTTTCCCGCGTAAATAAGCACGCAGACTATTCTGTGTACAAGCATGACGATTAATTTTCATATGTACAATATCAAAGTGTTATTATAAAGTTATATAAGGTCATTGTTAAATGTTTTCTACTGTAGCTAATTCTACTTGTAGTTAAGTATGATCTAACGCAGTGATTTAAATGTTAATCACTTTCTAATTCAACTAAATATTCATAATATATATACAAAAAAATTTACTTAACAAAAATTAATGAAACTATGTCCTTTTCACATGTATTTTGTTGTGTCTACACATGTAATGAATTACATATAATTAAGTATATATAACAAGTTTTCTACAAATCTCATATATAACAATACAATTATCAATTTACGAAATGTATTTTATTTACTGCTTATATGTGAGTGGAAACTGGGGTTAAATAATGAGATCTGTTACATTTTATTCGCAAGTTACTTTGCCTTTAATAATACTGATGTACAGATGAAAATTGAGACAACGTCGAGATTTTGTAGCCGTAAGCGAAATTTGCAATGATAGCGCATAAATGACATTAGAACAAATATGTACCCGTACTGATTAACGTGACCATTATTTTTGTCTTGGCAAAGTGAAACGCCTAAAAAATAAGCACATATATCCACATATAAGTAAATTAATAAATTTACTTGAACATCTTGTTCTCATGTATTTAGTTTTTCAGGCGTCATACACGTTGTGGTCTTATATTTTTAAGCTGAAGTTGGCTAAAGCCTGACACTTCCTCTTGTTGAACAGGGGGACAGTTAAAATTAAATTGGGACTGTCCCACACAAAGCGGGACGGATGGTCACATTATTATCGTATTATATATTTGAATTCGCACATTAAAAAGAATAATCTGTGAATTTATACAATCATGTTAAGACTACATAATAATGAAGATCTATTCTTGCGTATATCAACCAATATGTATAGGTACCCTCTTAAACTAAAGTATACTGTAGCGTTTTCTATCTTCTATGTAATATGTCATTGCGCGCCTCTAGTTTTAAGTTAATGTAATATCTCACAATATCTGAATGTTTCCTTTCTGTGTTACAAGATTTAAAATGGTTGTGGTTTTGTCAATGGCCAATAGGCATGATGATAGCTGGCTGTTTTTGGTAAAACATATTTTGCACTTACGACGTGTCTCTTACAAATATCGATTGGATTGCTGTTTTATTTTATGTAATGTAACGAAAATCTCACTTATAAAATAAATAATACATTAATTGTAAAGTTTTTAACAATTTTAAAAATAATAACCAATGTTTCGTTGTTTTTTTTTGCTGTAATCATCATGCCTGTTATTAATTCATTCAGTTTATTGTCAAATTAGATTTATGCTCAAATCGACTAATGTCTCTTTGTCTAATTTTATGCCCGTATATTGAAAAAAAACTGTTTGAAAATTTATATTTCTGTCAGTCATTTTGTTCTAGGTTAAAATATCTTTGGCTCCTACCATACCTTAGATATTTCTAATAGAAATTTATAATAATATCCAGTTTGAACATAATATCATAAATGCTAATTTTGGTCTCATGAGAAGTCATAATTTTACGGTTTTTTCTAATAATTCTATTTTAGTCGTTACTGTTTTACCTATATGCTAAAAATAGGACCATAAAAACATAACCTATTTTTTTTTTCTAAAACCAGATGATGAGATGTAGGTATTAAATTTTGTTATTTTCCTATAAGAAATCTATTTAATGCATATCTAACAAAGTTAACCTACTATCAACATAATGAAACGGAAATTGTGAATATTAGATTACAGTCTCCATTTTCACAGTACACAAGTTTTGTCTTTGTATAATGTACATATTATAGATAGCTTCCTTTCCAACAATATACATGATAAGTAAATTGTTCGTTTATAAGTTAATTAAGTAATTATGAAACAGGAATTATAGTGCAGTATAAATCATTTTGTAACCTATACGTTATTTCCAAGGCCCAGCGCTCACAGACTAATGTCAGTTATAGAATAATAAAAGGGCTAGTTCTATATCAAATCAAAATTATTTACTTATATAAAATATTTTTGGTCATAAAAACATTTTTTTTGCATGACAATATTTTTTTATCACTACCCTTATGATTAGAACTGGCAAGTAACATTACAGTTTATTGCCATATCTAATCATAGGGTATTTAAAAAAAGTTTTTTTTATTTGAAATAGGTAGGTACCATTGTCAATAAGCGCTGGCCCTTGATCTTACTCACTGGAAACAATGAACGAACCGAAACGAATTTTTATTATTACGCAACAATAAACATGGATTTACTTGACAGTTTTCTTTAGATTTAAGTTATTTTATATAATTAACTAAGTAGTTTGATATGTATAATAATTTGCTTTTAAAATAAATGATATATTCCATTGAGAAAAAAATTGGCGCGTTGAGCTTTTAAAAATTTTCTAAAAAAAAGTAAATATTAATGGCAATGTATCTGTTTAAATATAAAAACAAATGCGCGTACTTTAGTGTATATGACCAAAACTCTTGACATATTATTATAATTCTCTTCAAATTATCGAAATTTAAAAACTCCACGCGTTAAATAAGACCAATGGAGTATAGACAAATAATATTTAATGCTGCCATGATAAAAAATGCCCATAATATTTTATATGCCATAAAATTTGGGCCCGTCAATTTTTTTTAATGTAATTGTTTTCACGCTATTATGTACATGATAAAGGAAATGACGTCATATTAAGCATTTTATCAATGATGAATATTTTGTAATAAAATAAATAAATCAACTATGATGCTAGTGCACAATTTTGTTGGAAATAGTAGATATTTTACGATTAATTCTGTAACAGTGTAGCACAAGAATGTGTGCTATTTGAACTAAATAAAATTGACAAACCAATTCTGCATTTTTTTGTCCCTTAAATTAAATAATAGTATATTGATCTAACTGTATTCAGTCTTTACTTGTTCACCATTAATATTAAAATTAATTCAAAATGTATAAACATTAGTGATGTAACTGTATAATCTGAAGTATCTCACGTATCACGTATATAGCTTTCTATCTTCACGGCATGTCGAACCAGGGCCATCTGTCACGCTACACTACTGCTAAATATACTAATTTTACTGCTTAATGTATACCTATATAATCTAAATCGAAAAGTACTTGGATTAATACAAACAATCGAGTTCATTAATGAAGTATTGTGCGGATCTAACCCAGGACTATTAGAAGGTGAGAGACTATGATGACGACTGTGTCCTTAGAAATCGTTTTAAGTGAACCTGAACTGTTCCTATTCATTGCAATACGTTAGAACTTAAGGGTCATCAAGTTTACAGATTTGTAAGCTGGATAACTTGATAATTGTAAATGAAAATGAGAGTACTTTGGCTCATTTATTGTAGTACAAACAGTTTTTAATATGGCTACACTAACAATGACGGATTGTCAATGTCACTTATACTGAAGTGACTTGTCTACGACACCAAAAACTGTCAGAAAAATTTGACATTTTTATCATTTTAATTTCATAGTTTCTTGCGGATAATATAATATAAAATTATATCTATATATATTAAATAATATGGAAGCAAAAGACGTGTGTGTGGAAATAGAAAATGATACTTTTTACAGCAAATTCCTGGACGACAGCGTAAAACCTGTATCAGGCGAAAATCTGTCTGTTACCGACCAAGTCAATAAACTAGCATTAGGAATCGAAAAACTAGGGAGAAGTCTTGAAAAACAAGTACTAGCGAAACACAATGATCTTTTAACTCAGGCAAGTCATATTACTGACTTGGAAACCACTTTAGAATCAGTACAATCGCAGGTTCAAAGTTTGTTGCGTGGTGCCGAAAAACTAAAAGAACGTGTAAACACACCTTATCAGGCTTTAGAGAATCAAACATTAATGTTGGAAAGAGTTCAAATCACCTGCAATTTACTAAGGCAGACCTCTAAAATCATCACGTTGTGGAACAAATTGATAAACATAAAAGACAACCCAGCAAAGGAAGCAATCGTACTTTTCGAACTTAATGAGTTAATAAACGACTATAATTTCGAAGGTATCGTTTTACTAGACGAAATTTTAAAGGAAGTAGATAATAAAAGGAAGGAATTATTAAGCAATGCTACTGTATCACTACAGACTAGTTTGCTAAGTGGTGATAAAAGTAAATTGCTGCAATGCTTCAAAGTGTTTCATAATTTGCAATGTACCGATGAACAGATTCGCAACACTGTTGACAACATATTAAGTGAATTGAAAAAAGGAATTGGTAATGCTTTGAATGTGAAAGCAGAAGGACATTTTGAAGTAAAAAGGTCTGGCTCTGCTAAGGTCACACCAGGTAAAGCCAATATGATGAGCTCGTTAGATTTTAAAATAATACTTTGGGACAATATTGAGAAACTGTTCAAAGAAGAGATATATAATTGCTGTGCAAAAGTGATCATGTTGCAGAATGTAGTAAATGAACTCCATGCCATTGGGAATTTTAGAAACATAGCCAAGAACTTTTGGTCTAACCTTTTACAAATATTTAGCACACAGCTAGAAAAAAGCTCCTTGTCTGTCAATCAGTCTATTGAGATAGATTTTCCAAAGTTACTAAAATGCTTCAATGATTTACATTTAAAATTGAAATGCAAAGATTTGGAAATGAATCGCTCATGCTTATCCAAATGGGAGAATTCATTCCTTTCAAAATCTCTCGGTAAACTGTTAGAGCCTGTTAGGAGCATGTGGTACTTGAACCAAGTACCTACTATGGACCAAATAGATAATGCCATTAGAGTGATAACTGAAGCACTCAGTATATCCCTAGGTGATAAACAGTTAAGCATAAGCTTAGCTAATAGTGTTGCAAAATCTATAAAGCAGATGAATATGGAAGCAGAGCAGAGACTGTCAATGGATAGTGATGTTGCCCAAATAATAGAATCACCAACCAGCTCACAGCAAAAGAATGCAGAACTGTGCAATGCTATGTACTACTTCTCGTCTCAAATAAAAAGGGTCCTCATAAACATGAATGCAATGTTACCTGCTGAAAGTATACAAATTGTGCAAAATAGCTTGAAAGATATATCCAGTTTACCTGTCCTACAATTGTATGCGGAATCTATAAAAAACTCACTTTATATCATCCTTATGACCATGCATGAGGAGCCAGACTTGACTAGAGCTGATGATCCAACTGGAAAGTCACTTTCATGCTCACCTTACATGAAAGAACTGCAACAATTTGTGTCACGTTGCAAAGATATATACTTGTCTATGTTCCGTGAGAAGCCAGCACTGACCGAATGTTGTAACAATATTGCTGTAGTCTGCATCGAGAGATTCATACAACATGTGTGCAATGTTAGGCCACTAAGTAAATTTGGGAGAGTGAAATTACAAATAGACTGTAAACATTTAGAAACAGCCTTATCACCGTTAGTGAGTGATTTCACAGAACTGTCAGACTATTATAGGCAATTGAAAGCATTGTACTTAATATTGGAGAAAAACCCTCATGATATTGCCAAGAGCCAATCCGAGGGTGCTTGCTTACCATACTCGCTGGTTATGATGTATTTGTTTTCTCATGCTGGCCCACAGTTGATGGCACCCCACACATGTGCTGGATGGAACATACAGAGGCTGGTACAGTGGTTGGAGACTCACAGGAACGAGAGGGAGAGAATAGAGTTTGTTGCTGGTGCATTGCAGCGGTATCAGAACCACGTCAGAGATAACCAAATCACAACATATGATGAAGTTTATCCAGTTTTATTGCAATTACTTGAAGACGGCAGAAAGTCACTAAAGAAATAGAATTTCTTCAATAGTTTTTAAGGGAATTTATATATAAAGTAATATATAATAAGTTATAAATAAATGAAACACATATAATAAAAATAACATTATATTTAAAATAAACATTTACATTAGTTATATCTTTCTTATTTTTATTATCTTTAACAAATGTTTCAGTATCTCTTGTGTATTGAACGTACAAATCTCTTTATTCCATGCGACGCCAGGTTTCTTCCAACATTTTCTAAGGAAATAAGGTTGTGAATTAAAATGGCTACTTTAACAAATTACTCCATTTTAAAGTGATCAACAAAATATTAAATTATGCAATTTTAGGCATCAACAATGGACGGTAGAAATGATTGTACCGTGATTATTAAATTTTATTAAAAAAAAACGGTTATGATAAAAAAGTCCGATGTCTATTCTTTAAAAAAAATGTGATGTCTTTAAATCTAAATTATAAACCTAGTATTAACCTGGGGTACAAGAAATATTGTTCTCTGATAATATTGTTCTTTAAATATCTAGGTACCCCTTTTTGGAGCAACATTTACGGGAGAAAAATGCGTAAATTGAATTGTTTTTATCCTATTAGGAATGACAAACGTATTCATATTTTACGCCATATGATGGTTTTTGATTACTTGTCATAAGGTGGTCCAACAACCGTCAAAAGATATGCTAATTATTAATAGTTATAATATAATGGGGCGAGCCTACCACCATCTACAGAATAATTATGGTTTATTATCGGGTTTTCCATCATCTGAGAATTGGTCAGAAATATTAACGAATAGGTATTGAATTAAAATTTATTAAAACCCAACTGTCAATAATATCATTATATGACATTGTAATAAAATATTTACATACACAAGCATGTGACTCCACACGTATCAAACAACCTGCTTAATAACTAAACAATTTGGAATTTAACTAAATCTAACTTAGCTACTATTTACATTCTATCATACAATAAATTCACAATTCCAACAACTGATATATATTACATACACATATATTTTGTTACATTACGCAATATATAACACAATGGCTTCAATTAATATGACCCATCCTGTATATAGAATTAGCTGTGCCCGCGACTTCGCGCAGCGCACGTAACGGAAGCCCTCAGATATAAATAATTTTCCCCGTTTTTGTAACAATTTTCACTGATACGTCGCTGCTATTGGTCGTAGCGTAATGTTATATAGCTTAAAGCATTCCTCGACAAATGGACTATCCAACACAAAAATAATTTTTCAAATCAAACCAGTAGTACCTGAGATTAACGCGTTCAAACAAACTCCTGAGCTTAAATTACAAACATACTGAGTGCCCCTCTGATGCGTTGCTATTCTAGAGTGCTAAGCTTTCTTGCCTCTATTTCCTGTAATTCCACTGCTATAACTCACCCTTCAACCGAAACATCTGGGAAGAGGATCGTCAGTAATATGGACTGACCTCATTGCTAGCAATGTACGATGTCAGGTTGACTTTCACGCTATTCCCCCTGAAAACCATCATGATAAATTCCTGGTTAATTTGTCAGGATAGACTCAGCGACCTGACCTCATGTTCATTTTATTATCCGGTCCACTAGTCACTGGTGCTCCTTCAGCGTAAACCGTTAGCACAGACGGGTACACACAGAGATTGTTATTATTACTGAAATCCTGTCAAACTATATATAATAATAATGGAATAATTAATAATATTTGAAACATCTTTTAAAGCAAGCTGCATGGCGGAATTAATAAGTGAATAGTAATGGCAGACTCCCGCAGAAGACTTTTTTAAAAAAAGTTTGACAGGATTTCAATAATAATAATCTCTGGATCCAAGGTAAGCTAGATAAAGCTTGTGGTATGGGTACTAGATAACTGATACAAATACATAGTTTTGTAAATACATACATACATAATATACATAGAAAGCACCCAGACTGATACAAACAATCATACTCATAAATATAAATGTTTGTGTCGTGTGAGGAATCGAACCCGTGACTACCGAGGCCATTAATGCAGGCCGATAGTAGGTATAAGGTCTAGTTTCGCAAAAATAATTTTAATAGTCTAAACAAACCTCTTGTAAGACACCAGACTATGGAGCTATAAATGACAATAATGGTGATGAATATCTACATATAAAATACACTCTAACATAACCATAAATTAAAACCTACTTTACACAACTCGCAACTAAGCAACCTCAATCGTTCAACACGCTACATTGAAACTTATTACAAAGCGATACAGTCTAAAACAGTTTGAGGCTAAACCTGTCGATCGAAGGCGATTTTGAACACATCGTCGTAAGCATTCACAAAATGTATATCTATATTGTCCTTTATAAACGTGGGCAGATCGTCGAAGTCGCGCCGGTTTTCTTCTGGCAGTATCACGCAGTTCACGCCTACTCGTTTTGCCTGAAAAAGAAATCATAAATACATATAAACAGGACGACCTCGGTGATCTAGCGGTATCGCGTACAGCTTCACTTTCGATGGTCGCGGGTTCGAATTGATATAATTATATGTATTCATGAGAAGGATTGTTTGTATCGATCTCGGTGTTTACTATGTAAGTCATTTCAAAAAAATATAATTTAGTAGTTATATCAGTTGTCTAGTACCCGTAACACAAGCTCTGCTTACCGTGGGACTAGATGGCGCTGTGTGAATTGTCTAAGGGTATTATTTATTTTATACAACATGATACCGACCGCTATAATCTTCTCCTTGATGCCGCCGACGGGTAACACCCGGCCGGTGAGAGATAGTTCCCCTGTCATGGCGAGGTCTGGCCGCGGCGGCCTGTCCAGCGCCAGCGACAGCAGCGCGGTCGCGATGGTGGCGCCCGCGGACGGGCCGTCCTTGGGGGTCGCCCCCTCCGGCACGTGCAGGTGCAAGTGGCTGTGGACACCACCCAGATGACATTACAACGTTGTTCAAAGTTATGTTTAGTTGTAAAGTCTGTGTTTACCATTGTAATATTTCTATCAGCACTCGGCACCCTTCCATTAGTTTACGTCTCCACATAACTTAAATTTTCAGTCAATTCAAAGTCTAATAATTAAAGTTTAAGAGGGTGTGTGTGTACACATCCCTTTAAAGGTTTAGGTATGACCTACTTTGTCGAGAACCTGGGAGCTTGCAAGAGAGAAAGAAATGTTACCTTATATTACCTTATGTAACCTTATATACGAATTTACTATGAACTAAGAGATGCTACTACAAAAGTAAGAAACTAAAATAATTTTAATTTTCGGTGTTTTCGAAACAAATAAATGTTATTTGTTTCAGACTATAATATAGGTATGTTACTATTATCGGTTTTATATATATTTTTTTCCTGTTTCCACATTCTTGTTACTTCTTCCTTTAAGTTTGTATATTTATTTATTATTTCAGCAATTAGTTTCTTGTAGTTATCAATACACACAATGTAATTATTCTTATTATATTTCATAGTACAACAGACCTGGTGTTGAGGAAGTCATTGTCGGAGTAGTATTTAGCGAGGTAGTTCCTGGCGACAGTGAGTGCTATCCTGGCGGACTCCTTCATCACGTCCCCGAGGTGGCCGGTCAGCTCCAGGGAACCCATCGGCGATTTATCATCACGCTGCGTGTTCCGTAGGGCCGTCTCGATGTACAGCGTGCTGCCACCTGATTGGAAAATAATAATATATACACTAGCGCACCCGATAGACGACATCATGCCCGGAAAGGCAGCGCCACCATAATTTAAACCATCTAGGAACCACTTGAAATATACACAAAAAAATCATTTAAATTGTTCAAAATTCAAAATTCAAAAATCATTTATTCATGTAGGACATTTTAGCCGCTTATGAACGTCAAATTTTTACATTATAATTTTATTTTTTCCCTACCGTCCAGTTCGGTATATAGATCCAATTGAGAAGAACTGGCAAGAAACTCAATTGAATTACTTTTTTTTTTAAAGCCAGTTTATTTACAATGTATTTTTATATAGGTGTCTATGTCTAACATTAAATGAAAATTCAGTGCATGAACAACTATTGCCATGCACACTCGTCATTCAAGTAATCGTTTAGTGAGTAATAGGCCTTGCTCAGTAAATATGATTTAACAGATGTTTTGAATTTATTTAAGGGTAATTCCAAGATATCCGACGTTCGATCTACTATGCTAATAATAATAATAATAATAATAGCAAAAGCTGAGAGAGTGAGACGATAGCGAGAATAATAATAATAAGCGGTTTAATTACATTTAATAATAAAAGGAGTCATGACTGCATTAAATGTATTTATAAAACGAAAAAAAATGTAAACATTGCACTTGACGAGTATTTCCGAAATAAAAAGTTATTCCCTACTTGCCTGTGTCAAATACCTCCACAATGGTTTAGCACACCGCTTTGCTTCCTATGGTCACGGGTTTAATTCCTCGCATATATGTAGTCATGATTGTTTGTATTTTCTATATATTTACAAAAAATATATCTGTATATATCAATTGTCTAGTACCCATAACTCGATAGCAGCGGTGAAAATAAAGCGGTGTGCTAAACCGTTAGACCACCGAGGTTGTAATACCGGATACAGAAATAAAGTCTTATTATTTTTTTTTTATTATTTTTCTTTTCAGCTTTCGCCGATAATTTTGGTATGTACCGGCCTAAGCCAAGTACATAGCAATGTTATATTTTTAGGTGAATATACTATAAATATCGGCCAAATCTGTTCGTAAAAATTTTCTGACAATGTGGCATGTGTTTAGGATAACAGCCTCCTGCAGTTAGAAGTATATATTAAGAGGCGTGTTCAGGGTATTTATTGACTGATATATCTGTTTCGGTATGAAACCTGTAGTTGAGAGGATAGTGTACTGACCCATGGCGGTCCAGGCGAGCCCCATGACGACACCGGGCGGGGTGACGTCGTACATGCGGTCGTGTTTGAACGTCGGCTTCCCCACCAGCTCGCTGAGGTTCTCCTCCGTCACAGTCAACTGCTCCGTTTCCTTCTTCACTATCTTGTACGCCACTTTCCGCGCTATCTACTCGCATATACACATACAATAAAAATGTAAGTGATCACTGTTTATGTATATCAGAAAAATTGGTATTGGGGAACTTCATTAATTTAATACTAATTAAAATAAAGTTTTTAGAGTTATTGTCTATTTGTCTGTGTGTTTGTGGACGCTAATTTCAGAAACGGCTTTACCGATTTGTTATATATTTGTATAAACGAATATATATATATTTTATAAATGAAACTAATTTTACGCCAGATACTTAAATTCGTGTCTGTATATATAATTATAACCGCGGATAATTCACACAGCGACATTAAGACCCAGACAAACTGACATAATAACATACTTTTTTTTGTAAATACATACATAATATACATAGGAAATACCCGGACTAATACAAACAATGAATATAAAATATTTGTACTTTGCGAGAGATCAAACCCGCAACGATAAAAAAGCAGTGTCTAACTGAAGCGCTAAGTAGATGCACATATATACACGTATATATGTATTGGATCTACCTATATAAAGTCGGGGCTGGTAGTTAATGAGGCATAAACAATATAGTTATATTAGACACTGTAAATCTATAAAAACAATCACCTTCTCTATATGCTTCTGTAAATTCCTGACACCCGACTCCCGGCAGTAGGATCGTATGAGGGAATGCAACGATTCCGGCGTGAGATCCAACTGTTCGGCGGTGAGGCCACAGTTGGTCCTCGCGGTGGGCACCAGGTACTGCTGAGCTATCGCCAGCTTCTCCTCGGCAACGTAACCTGATGCAGACCAAGTTTATATTAATCAAATCAAATCAAAATATATTTATTCATGTAGGTCTATTACAGACTCTTATATATTATAGCATAGCATTCTCTACCAGCCAACCTTAGGGAGTGCAGAGGTACTCGAAGGCGGTTAGTTTACGAAATAAAATTATATAATATTATAATAATAATAATAATCTCATGACAATTCACACAGCGCCATCTAGACCCAAGTTATGCTAGCTAAAGCTTGTGTTATGGGTACTAGACAACTGATACAAATACATAGATATTTTTTATAGAAAATACCCAGACCGATACAAACAATCATACTCATGAATACAAATGTTTGTGCCGTGCGAGGAATCGATCCCGCGACCATCGGACGTAAAGCGGTGTGCCAGACCGCTAGACCACCGAGGTCGTCAAATATATATATTAAATAGTTATAAATATAAGAGCACACATATATATAATATACTACATACAAACATATTATGGGCATACATACATATACATTTTTATAAATATATATTATAAACAAACTACACCTATAAATAAGATAAGGAGGATGATGATCGTAATTACAGTTCTATGAGAGATTATTTAAAACATAATTGTTTATATTAATCAAATCAAAATATATTTATTCCTTAGGTCTATTACAGACTCTTATAATATGTCAAAAACGACCGTCAGTTCGGAGAGCATTTCAGCCAAGAGGAACTGACAGGAAACTCAGTTCCTATTATTTTCTGCTTGTAGATGTTTACCAAAAATACCAACCGAAAAACCAAAAATTTGTAAATTCTAGAGAATAGAGTGACCAAAAGCATATGCTACTGCAATTTTGTCAAAAGGAAATAGTCTAATCCGTAAATCTAGGCCGTAACCAGAACGTAAAGATTACATATACAAATTTTGGTACAAAATAAAAATTCGCACAGACGCGGCGCGTTCATATTGCATGTGTGAAGAAGTCGCCGGACAGTGATGAACTCGTCAGAAAAAATGTAGTACTGATTAGTATGTAGTACCATTTTATTATAATTAATTTTATTACAATATATTAATGGCAGAAAATGAAAAAATAAATTCAATTAATTATAAATGCTTGGTCTTACAATAATTAGTACTTGTATCCCGTATAGATTAAATCATGTGTGTAAACAATAAATAGTCTAAAGCCTGGAATTTAATATCCGGAGATAGTGTGGGATATACTATCCCCAGGTGCATTCAGTCAGTCAAACAAGATGGCGGCCTACGAACGGTGACTCGGACAAAAATGGCATTATACGAGTAGCTCGCGAACGGAATGGACGCGTTGCGAGCAATATTCTAATAATTATATTATTATATATCAGTACAGTAAAACAATATTGCAAACCTCACCGGACATATCGATCAGCTCCATCCTGTCCCGGAGCGGTTCCGGTATGTGGTCGATGACGTTCGCCGTACAGATGAACAGCACCTTGGACAAGTCGATGGGCACGTCCAGGTAGTGGTCCAGGAAGTTGGCGTTCTGTTCAGGGTCGAGGAGCTCCAGTAATGCAGATGACGGGTCGCCGTGGACGCCCCTGGTGGAAATAACATTTTTTTATAACGTAGGGGCAAAATAGTTCGGGGCTCACTTGATTTTAAAATTACCACCGCACCAGGAGAATTGCGTTGACGGCCTTTTGAGAAGGAATAAGCTCTTTTCTTTCAGATTTCAATATTGTATCGGTTTGGAAATGCCATTGCTGGAATGTGATTGTGTGTACCGTGGGTTTTTCCAGCAACTTTTCTAGCAACGTACGATTTATTCATACAGAATGGTATTTTACAATTAGATTCTTTATTGCACTTTAAATACATTATTTAAGTATCTTCAAAAATAATATTAACAAAGGAGGGCTCTAAAATACTCTAAATGATTTCTTCCCGTCAATTTAGCGTGGCATAAGTAATGTTGAGTGGGACAAAATGTGCAAAAAATAATAAATAATGAATTAGTGCCTGTTGGGAGTTCGTATTCCCATTTTAACTTAAAAATGTAAAGTTACAACAATTATTTAAAACAGCAACACGTTTCTTGCGATGAGATAGCTTTCCGAATGAGCGGCAGATTAAAAAATTCAAATGTCGATTTTCCATTCTATTCAATTGTATTATGTTGAGATTGTACCCGCTTCTATAAATCAGTACGCTAATCCGCTAGACCACCAAGGTCCATATATATACTCACTTGCCAATCTTGTCGACCTCGTCGATGAGTACGAGGGGGTTTTCCGTGGCGGTCTTCTTGAGGCACTGGACCAGCTTGCCGGGCATGGCGCCCACGTAGGTGCGGCGGTGGCCCTTGATCTCGGCCACGTCCGTCATGCCGCCCACAGAGAACCGGAAGTACTGCCGGTTGAGGGCGCGTGCGATCGACCGAGCTGATGGAGCAGGAGAACACGTTCAAACTCAACACAATACTCATTTTTTTTCATGAATGATAATGGTATGTGGCACCATAAAATGAGCATGAAGTCATGTCAGTTAACCCATCTTGGCAAATAGCAATTTACCACGATCATTTGCAAGGGGAACCGCGTAACCACGCGGTACTGGTACACATTACTAACAATTTCCTTCTCACCAGCTGAATCATATTGGGATTAGGAATGTCAAAAAAAATCTTTTTCACAGCGACATATAGTCCCAAGCTAAGTTTGTGTTATAGGTACTAGACACAGTTGTATATTAAATACTTAAATATATTTTTAGTAGGTATATATACATAGACTCCAACAGAGAACCAGAAAAACTGCTGATTCAGAGCTCTCTCAAAACCAGGGAACATATTCGAACTCAACCAATTCACCAGGTCGTGGGTATTGTACTCATCCTTCCAATCACAAATACTATGTATGTATTTAAAAAATTAAAACCTAAGTATTAATATCAGTTGTGTAATACTCATAATACAAGGCCTGTTTACAATGTCATATAGTCCGTGGGACTGTGTGAAATAATGGCGCTATGTGAATATTCCTGGATTAATATTAATTCTACTCACCTATACTAGTCTTGCCGACTCAGGAGGACCATGGAAGCACAGAATCTTGCCCTGGGTGCTACCCTTGAGCTGCGATACGGCTATGAACTCAAGAATCCGCTTCTTGATGTCTTCCATACCATAGTGGTCCTCATCGAGGATCACCTGGGCATCTTCTAACTTCAGGTTCTCTTCGGAGGTGATGCCCCAGGGTAGTGATGTCAGCCAATCAAGGTAACAGCGTGTGACACTATATAGAGATAATTAAGATGATTAATAAATACTAATAATACCCTGGATAATTAATACAGCGTCATCTAGTCCCACGGTAAGCAGAGCTGTTATGTTATGGGTACTAAACAATTGATATAAATACTTAGACATTTTCTTTTGTAAATACACACATAGAAAACACCTAGACTGATTCAAACAATCATACTCATGAATACAAATGTTTCTACCATGGAAGGAATAGAACCCGCGACCATCGGAAGTAAAGCTGTGTACAAAACCAATAGACTACCGAACCAATAGCCGTCAAATGAATAAAAATATATTTATTTTTTATTTCTCTATCTCAACCTATTACGCAAATACGTGAGAAAGCACACGTAGAGGCAGCCTCACATACTAATGTCTAATCTAATCTAATGACTTGTATAATGTCTATATTAGTTAAATAAGGTTATCTGAATATGTTTTAAAGAGCCTTTAAAACATAATCTAAGTGATTTCGGAAACCTATAATTGGCTGGACAGGGAGAGAAGCGGTGAAGGCGAGTGTTGACGTACGTTGGCAAGGGGCCCCTTAAATCTACATACGGTTCACAAGTCCCGGGACTTGCTCGGAAATCAATGGAATGCTAAGTTCGTCTACGCAATGGAAATTATAATTTTAGAGATAGTGACTACTAACTTGAACTCTGAGCTATGACTCTCCAAGAAGTTCATTTTGTTCAGCTCCTCATCGATGACGGTCTGCACGGCCTGCGGAACCGTCTTGTCTGCGAGCCGCTCCCGGAACTTGTCACCGATGGCGTCCTTGTCATCCTTTTCTAACCCTAGCTCCTTCTTTATTACCTGATAATCACATATATATTTTTTTTTAAAATGTTATTGATGACTATTGTTGAGTTATAGTAAAAAGTATCCGAATTATATATCTGTGTAACATTATTATCTGTAAAAAGTACTCACATTTAAACAAAGTACACTAAAAACATGTTTAATTATTTAAAAACCCAAAGGCACAGTAAAAGGTGTTTTGTTTAGATGTAATTTTAAAACTGTATTACAAGACTACAGCAACTTAACAACACTTTAGCCACGACTGCACTACAGAGATTACATATTCAGGTCGAAAAAAAATTAGAAACAATCTTTATTCAAATAAACTCAATATAAGCACTATTGAATAGTCATATTTTTATTCTACCACTCATTCATCATAAGAATGAGAAAAAAACTTGCGTGTTGCTCTTTTAAATAAATGTTGTTCAGAACATTTTTAAGAATTTTCTGTGAATATTAACTGCCAAATAGCAAAGTTGGCATAAATAAACCAATTTGTCCAAACACCAAACCGGTGACAAAAATTACTTTATGACAACATCATTATAATTCATCTATAATTTCGTTCCTTAATTACAATTTATATGTGGGCATACTTAGCCTCATATTACATTATAGTACATACCTTGAGCTGTTCATGTAGTATATATTTCCGATGTTGCTGCTTCACTTTCTCCTCCACTTCCTTGCCAATCTTCTGTTGTAACTTTGACAGTTCATACTCTTTCTTTAGCAGAGAGAGTGACATCATCAGTCTTTTGGGTATCTGTAACGAATATACGGTCAATGTAAATTAGTATGAAGGTACATATTTCATACTAATTTTATAAACGTGGAAGTTTGGGAGCGTGGACGGATAGAAGGATGGATAGATGTTTGTTACTTTTTTATGCAAAACCTACCAAACGGATTTTAATGAAACTTTATTGTAACATAGCTTATACATCACAATAACACATAGGCTATAATTTAAAAAGATATTGTGTATATTGGGCGAAATATAATGATAAATGTCGAGTGTGATGCAGGCGAAGTTGCGCGGGTCAGTTAGTATTGTAAAACAACTCACATCCATTTCTTCAAGTATGGCTTGAAGTTCAGCAGTATCGGCACCAGTAAGTGCCGCTCCCAGGTCACTCAGATAAACGGGGTTGTCGACCACACGCTGCCCTTGAGCCAGCATATGATGAAGAGACTCCCTGCAGATGCAGAAATAATTGATTCAACCATCACTTGCAAGTGAATCTGTATTTAAGAAGTGGAATCTATAACGCAATAGCTTATTCGAAAATTGAACTGTGTATACAGTTTTTATTATCATATTTTTTCTACAATATATTTTATATACTTGGATGTATTTTTTAACTAACCCTACTAAAACCTATTGCACATGAGAGATTCTTAAGATGGCTGAATAAAACGGTTTTTACTGATGAACTATTACATATTAAATTAGATTTCTAAATTAACACATTTTCTAGCAGTATTTATGCTGTTAATATTTTGGCTCTAATGAATTAGTGCTATTTGCTAATTTGTATTCATCAAAATGTAAAAACATAACGAAAAAAAACCAACATCCAAGTATCCTGCTCGTTCTTCTTGTGATAAGCTTTTTGAATGAGTGGTAGATTAAAAAATAAGTATGAGTATTGAAAAGTGCTTAAGTTTAAGTTTGTTTCAATAAACAGTTTATCTATTTTATTCTATGCCAGCGGCGCAAAATGGTAGTGCTTAACACCATTGATTTAACCGTTTAACCAATCATCAAACAGTGTGCATGTATATAGCTAGATACCATTTGGCAAAGACTACATTTTATACCCGTTAATCATTATTATGCAGATAAATAATGTACCAGTTGAGTTTCTTGCCAGTTCTCAACAAAAGTAGCTAGCCGAACTTTCGAAGTTCAGTCACAGTTTGGTAGCCGAACAGTCACTAGTGTAACAGAACACTAGGCTCCCAACCAATATCCTAACTCTAGAGAGTCCATTGGCTGTTCATGATTCGTTCAGAAGCAACATATGTGTCGCAATATGGATATAGAATCAGTAATGGTCGGAATTTGATCACCAATAGAGAAAGTCGTAACGCTTTCTGTAGCGGTGGTCAGGTTTCAAAACTGAATATTTGTGGTCTCTGTGGTCTCACATGTAGTAGTAGCGGAAATTAATAATTAAAATAGTAGAGGAATTAAACAAAATAATATAAATTGTGGCAATCACTATAAACAATGGCACCACTGTATGAACAGGCCGACCAATCCGGGACACAAAACAAAATGGGAGTCAAAATAAAACCTAATTGAATAAAATGTAAATGATTCAATGATTTTGAATTTTATTTAAGTTTTTTTTATTACTAAATTTGAGTGCATTCACTCATTCATCTCGACTGATGTTAAGTGATGATGATGATGATGATGATGATAATTTTGATTTTTCTTGATATAAATAAAAAATTATAACATAATACCTATATAAAGGATTCAAATTGATAATATCCCGTATGGTCTTGATGACTTCTTGTGTCAACGCCTTCACCTCTTCAGTCTGTTGGAATTTCTGGTGCATCAAGTTCTCCACTTTCACCATCATGACCTGGTCTGGGGGAGGTTTCTTAGGCGCCTCCTTCGTACCTTCGGCCTCTGGTTCCAGCTTCTTCCGCGAGTTACGGTACTTCCGCCGCCGTCGTTCAGCATCTGTCTCTTCGCGTGTAACGTCAAACTCCACGTTAAATAGTGGAAACTTCAGCTTCATTTCTGAAATGCGGAAACATTTCAGAAATGAAGCCAGTTTGTTTTTATATATCATAAAATATTATGTGTAGATGTTAGAAGTAGTAGTAGACTTGAAAATAATGTAATTTATTAATAAAATTGGTGACCTATTGTTTAAAATGTTATAATGGTAACTGTAGATACTATTCTATTTATAGTTTTACTGAAATATAATAGTAAAAAGTATATTTTTATTGAATATATTAACAGTTAGACAACTTTGATAGCGAAATGATTAACATACTGCACTAATGAAAAAATTAAACTTTGAATCACCTCATTTAAATTAATTAATTTCCAAGTTAATAAAACAATTACTTCACTTACACATTCATTCAATAGCATGTTAATAAGACTTTATTTAGTCACCAAGGCAGTTTTCAGTGATATACCTTAAAGAGTATACTTAAGACTTTTTTTTATCAGCCCTTCTGGCTATATTCAGATTAATACTTAAGACTTAGCAACCAAAACAGTCTATTTTACACAAAATGAATATTTACAAATATTCATTTTTTATTTTCATATATATTCATTTTTTTTATTATTTTTCAATGATACTTAACAAAATTGACAACAATAAAAATTATTGATGCAGATAAATTTTTGTTAAAAATCATTTAATTAATTAAAAATAATGAATGAATATTCCTTACATACAGTACATCTAATACTATAACCCGTGGAAGGGAATGCAGATAATTTGGTTGCACCATTATATTACCTGCTGGACCAGTGTCTATCTCTTCCTCAACAAACTGCCCAGTGATCTTGATCCTTCGGTGGGCCATCACGACCAGCCTCAACTTATAATCCATGTCCTGCATCTCATGTATTTGTGCAAATACACCGACATCATGCAGGTCATCCAAACTGGACACCACATCATTCTTGTCATCTTCTTTCTTACGTAAAAATATACCAACATATGGTTGGTTTAATTTCACTTTACGTCTTATTAAGTCAATTAGAGCTGGATTTGATATCTGGAAATAAGTAGTGTTTTTAAATTAAGAAATTGAACCAAGCTTTTGGAAAATGAGATATTGTGCTAAACAGCTGCATCAAAGAATTCGCCAAATAATGTATGAAATATAAGATGCACATTTATTTATTACAATCTGGTGTATAGAATGAGGGTACTAAGAACAAACATTATATTTATAAAACTTTCTTTTTTGCGTAAACATTCATTAACATAACAACAATACAGTATAGTGACAATAATTAAATTATTTATAAAATTTAAATTTTAATAGTAATATAACTGTTACAGTGTTACTAAAACTAATAATTCTTACTGAGAAATGCATTCCCAGCAGTGGATATAGATCCCAGGTTTTGTCAATCACTACATCACTACAATATTTGGAATGACAGTTTATTTGTTAGTAAACAGATTACTATATGGTATATTAATACTACAATTGGTACTTTAACTCACTTCAATTAATATATATTGAAAATAATAAAAGCTAGCTATGATATACCTCAATTAATTTGATAAATCTTGGAAACACTGGGTTCCTGTTGATTGCAATAACAGGAACTTGAGGCCAGACTTCAGGCACGGCGACAGTAGCCGGGAGCTGGCTTGAGAACAGCGGCGTCTCATCTTTGGACTCTGGATCGCCCTCAGGGGGATCATTCTTATTCCCTGTTGAGTAAAACCTCGTACTCGCTACCTGTCGCGATGTAGGGGAGTAAATATCGCTATAGCAGCAGCTGCGGCTGTATCGTACACCGTAAAGCCCATGACCGGACCTTAATACCCTCTCTTCTAGTTCCACCGGTTTAATATGTGATGCAACTTTCGTAATATTGCGAGATAACCTTACAGACAAATTTTTAAGTTTAACATTCTGAAACAATGAGCTCCTAGCCAAACGACTGGCAGTATGCATTTTACTTTATAAATAATTGAGTTTTTAGGTCTTGTTTCATTTAATAATAATTATTTTAAAATAAATAGGTTATTTTTCCAGATACTTCAAATGACATGACATTTATAACAAAAGTGACAGCACAGATTTAATACAATTTCTGTGCTTGTTTTTCTGTTGTCAACATTGACATAGGTGGAGCTCTGTGAACTGATATAGTGTTGTCAGCTGTCTGTGACTGCTTGTCAAAACAATGCAACGTGTTTTTGTATTCTAATTAAATTTTCAATAGAATTGAAAATAAATCAAAATACTGAATCATTTTATTCATGTGAATTTTTTAATGTTCTTTTATGTATTTTCGAAGATATTGGAAACTTTTTAATCCTATCTTACAAGTTAGTTTTATAATAATTAAATTAAATAACCAATCTCAGAATGCAACTGCGCTATTACCGTTTTAAAAACATGAATTTAGCCAAAATTTTCATTAGGATAAAGGCATTTTAAGAATATATTTTGTTTTACCTACACCTCCTAGCCGAAACTCACGGAATAATCAATGAGTTATTGAAAAAATTTGAATATAAGTAGTACTATGTTTTGCATTTTGTCTAGCAAATATACACTACATACTTGCCTTCTCGCCTCTGCTTGTATCGTTTAGATTGGTAATGTTGACATAAATTTGTTATTATTATTGTTAATTTGCCCTAACATAGGCTGTGTTTGCAGCATAAAATGAGAATGGAAACATCAACAGATGTTATCCCAAACAAAACTATAAAAGAAGGCCAAGCTGAAATCTGCCTGACCACTGAGAAAGTATTCTACAATCCTGTGCAAGAATTTAATAGAGATTTAAGTATTGCAGTACTGAGTATCTTTACTGATGACTATAAGACTGAGAACCGTGCTAAGGCAGAGAAGAAAACTAAAAAAGATGGACAGATGGATGTAATGTCAGAAAACAGTAATACAGAGAGTAATGCAGTAAGTTGTCTTTGTAGATCCCTCTAAGTTGGTTATTATTTCATTTTTGTTTATTATTTTTAAGGTTGTTATAATTAAGTTGGATATATACAGTTGACATAATTGACTACAAAAATCCCAAAATATATTAAGTGAGATAGAAAAAAAAAAGTTAATTGTACTGTAATGTAATTAATTTAATTTAATAATTTGCTTGTAATTGTGCTTTAAACATTGATAATGCAGGATGTCATGATTTAAGCTAACATATTGTCTTCAACATGCTTCACTAGTGTTGATTGTACTTTATTGTATTGCAAATTGTACTAGTATTAGTAGGGTCCAACCACTTTTAAATCGCATATATAAAATTTTATAAAACATCCCTGGATTAAGTTACCAGTTTAAATTAAACTTTTCTAAATGTTAGATAGCCAATGTTTGCCATCTAGGTGGCCTGCATGAAAAGTGATAAAATATTATGATAATTATTCCCAGCTAAGCAGAGCTTGTGTTGTAGACAACTGATAAAAATGCATTTACTTTATATTTATGTTTTTTTGTAAGTACATATTAAGATATATAGAAAATACCATCTAAAGCACTGAGTTCATTCAATATAACATCACACTAAGATTGTATTAGAGAATTAATGAAAAATGTTTCTAATATGCTGAATTTTTTTCTTTTTAGAGCTTTCGTTGAGTTCCAATAGTTTTTAATTGTTCCAAAGATATGTTTTTTCATTCTTTGTAACTCCTTCTCTATGTCCTTATATAATGCAAAGGAAGTTGCGTGAAGTCAGTTAGTAGCAATATATAATATGTTATTTAATTCTGTTGTTATATTTTTATTGCAGATCGATATAACTATTTTAGAAGCTCTATCTGCAACTGGTCTAAGAAGTATCCGTTATGCTAAAGAAGTGCCAAATGTTACGAAAATTGTTGCCAATGACTTTTCAATACAGGCTGTTGAAACTATCAAGGCTAATGTTATACACAATCAGGTGGAGAATTTGATAGAAACCAACCATGATGATGCTTGGTATGAATATTTTTATATTGAATACAAATTACTGTGTCTTGTTTATTTACTTACTGACCTAAGTAATATTATAAAGAGGAAACTTTTGATTTTATTACCTCTATCTGCACCAGCATATTGTCGTTTTGCATTTGTTATAAAAAGTTGTCAAAACCTCATTGGGAAAGTATTTCTTGGTGACATACTAATTAAAAACACTAATGCTTCTTATCCCTAAATATCAATTGATTATTTGTGGAATTCCTTTTTAACTAAAATCTTTTTACAATTTATCTCTATATTCGGTGTCCTTTAACACAGAGTTTGACTTCCATTGCTTCTATTATTAATAATTATATCTTAGGACAATTCACACAGCACCATCAAGCACCATCTAGTCCCAAGCTAAGCAGAGCTTATATTGTGGGTACAAGAGAACTGATATCAATACATAGATAATTTTTTTTGATAAATGCTTACCTATAAAACACCCAGACTGATACAAACATTCACACCCATGAATACAAATGTTTATACCATGCAAGGAATCGAACTCAAACAATCAGAAATAATTCTGTGTCTTAAACTGCTACACCACAGAGGCTGTCGTCAACTAATTAATCTCCATTTTATGCCCATAGTAAACTACATACATATGTGGTGATTATTATTATTTTTATTTCCAGCATGCTGATGTACAAACACAAGCAACCGGCAAAGCGGTTTACGGCTATCGATTTAGACCCGTACGGATGTCCCTCTATATTCCTCGACTCTGCAGTCCAGAGTGTCAGCGAAGGAGGCCTGCTACTCGTTACCGCCACAGACATGGCGGTACTAGCTGGTAACTCACCAGAAACATGTTACTGTAAATATGGTGCTGTTAGTTTGAAAACTAAATGCTGCCATGAAATGGTGAGTTTAAAAAATTCAAAATATCACACAGCCTCGGTGGTCTAGCGGTTTATAACACACCACCTTACTACCGATAGTCGCGGATTCGATTCCTCGCGCGGCACAAACATTTGTATTCATTCATATTTACAAATTTTTATCATTCTTCTTTCCAGGCATTAAGGATATTGTTACAATGTATAGAGCAACATGCAAATAGATACAGCCGCTACATAGTGCCACTGCTCAGTATATCTGCAGATTTCTACATCCGTGTGTTTGTAAAGGTATACTCAGGAGCGATACACTGCAAGAAGACCACTAGGTATCTGACATACAAATATTTTACATAAAATTCCCGTGTCACAATGTTAGTTACCATACTCCTCCGAAACGGCTTAACCGATTTTTATGAAATTTTGTATGCTTAGTAGGTCTGAGAATTGGCTATTATCTATTTTTCATACTCCTAGGCATAAGGGTTGTACACCCCTAACTTTTTTTTTCTTTTTGGACAAAATTAATTAACACAATATAATTAAGCGACACACAAGTTTCTTGCTCATTCTTCTTGTGATAAGTCTGCCTTCCGAGTGAGTGGTAGAATAAAAAATATGACTATTCAAGAGTGATTATATTGAGTTTATTTCAATAAAGATTACCTATATTTCTAAAATAAAATTGTGGTAATTAATTTAACAGTAAACTGTCAATGGTGTACCACTGCGTGGGATGTGACCACATAACCCTGCAGCCGCTGGGTGGTTTCAAACCCAACCCCAGTGAGAAGAACCCCGAACAGATGAAGTCGTACTTACCTCCCGCGCCGGTCGTGGGCGAGCATTGTGTGCACTGCAATCAAAGGCATCATGTAAGTTTACTATATTCCTTAATCCTGCCGCGGCAGGTCTAGTACCTCGGGAGGTAGGGTCGCGACAGAGCGGAGTACAGCGTCGGCCCGGCCAGCGACGCTAATTCTCATCCACGTCACACTATTCCATCAGCCGTAATTATGGATACTAGATAACTGATACAAATACATAGTTACATTTTTTTTCGTAAATACATACTTATCATACATAGAAAACATCCAGACTGATACAAACAGTCATACTTGTGAATACAAATGTGCCATGCGAGGAATCGGAACTAAGGCGGTGTGCTAAACTGTTATTGAAAGGTAGAACTACGATATAGGTACACAGTTTTTTAAATATTTATTTATCCTAATAAAGTAAGCTAAAGGAAATACAGCCATTCTGCAATTTACAGCTTGGTGGCCCTATCTGGTCAGCGCCTATACACGACGAAGCTTTTGTATCCAGAGTATTAATGCACGTACAAGAGCACCCGGCTCTGTTCGGAACAGCGAAGCGGATAGAAGGCGTGTTGTCTATGGTTCGGGAGGAGCTCCACAGCGTACCGTTGTACTACACCCTGGACAAGATGTTCGGGCGTGTGCACTTGGAGACTATGCCTATGATGGTAATGAGGTGTGGTAATACGTTAATTTTTTTTATACTAATCCGAGAAGATTTGCTATAAATTATTAGCATATATCTTTCTCTAACCAAGCAGTAAGCTGCGTTTCGATTGATGGTTTTTTTCTTACTAATGTTATAAAAGCAAAACTTTGTGAGTATGGATGTTTGTTACTCTTTCACGCAAAAACTACTAAACTGATTTTGATGACACTTTATATAAGTGTCATCAAAGTTTAGCTTAGCTTATGCATCTTAATGAAAACGATGATACTTTTTTATTTGGCTTTTATTGGGTCATGTCAATAATTATTTTTTAATTTAAAAAGATATTATGTAAATTGAGTAAATGTGTTGCAGACGAAATTGCGCGGGTCAGCTAGTCTTATTAATATTATAAACGCGAAAGTCTGTGATTATGGATGGATGTTTGTTACTCTTTCACGCAAAAACTATTGAACGTATTTAGATGACACTACAGTAATATAGCATATACATCATAATAATATATAAGCTAATACGAATATGCTAATAAAATAAGCTTTCACCCGGGTGATACAAGTTATATAGATACTTTCATGTGTTACCTACACATTAGTTCATAAACAGGATTACATGGCGCTGTGCGAATTGTCCTGGATTATTATTATATACCATTTGCCACTTCTAATTGCATAAAAAAAATACAAATTTCAGTGCCTTTACTTGTCTTACAGGTCAGCAATAATGAACGCTGG